CCCCAAAACCCCAAAACCCCAAAACCCCAAAACCCCTCGAGGATTTTAAATTATGAAATAAATTAAGAGAAATGATTTCGTATGATGTGGATAACAGTCAATTGATTGATGATATTTGGAAACAGAAAGCAATAGCTGATCAGAAATTTAAACATAAACATCATAATTTAAGCATTCAGGAGAGAGATAGAGGGACTAAAGGCTCATTTTTGGCTAATTTTGGGTAGGTTTTGGAATTTTAAGGGGCTTTGAGAGCATTCTACAAAGCTTCAGGTACTATTTTTATTTTAGGCCTCTCAAATCGTTTGAAACAAGTGTTTTACGATCGAAAAAACCTAGTACTGGATATGAAGTACACACAAATTGCTCGGCAAGGAAGAGAAGCAAGATGAATAAAATTCTGAATGTGACTCAGATCTCTCAAAAATTTAAAAAGGGCTTAAACACCTCCTATAGAAGGTATGTGCTATTTCTAACATTCATAGGCTTGATCAGAACAAGCAACTCAATATCTCACTCAAGGGATCAAAGAATTATAACAAAAAGAGGGTAAAACAGTTTTTGAAAAGCTATTTTCAGGAAGATTTTCACTCTCAAAGATGTAAGCCCGCTTCAAGAATAACTTCTAGGGAAATCCCAGAGGCACAGTTGTCGCGGAATCAGTCTCAAGAAAAGGTATTTACTCACATTCCTATGATTCTAGAATTTCAGAGGCCTATAACATAAATAAAAGACTTAAAGGTCTCTCACGTCGTTCTATCAAGTTGAAATAACACTGTCAGGACTAGTTTTGAGCAAGAAAGTCATGAGAAAGCTCCTAAGATGTTTAAAACAACTCGGAGGAGCATTCAGCCCTCTCGGCGTCGTAACAATAAAGTGTTCATGAAGATAGTACCCTCTTGTCTATAACTTCTAGGACAAACAGATGGACAATGACCTGTACCATATCACTATTAAGAGGAACTTCAGAGGCAAGAAGCTGACCATTAGTGCTAAGAATGATAGGTATAGCTCTGACTTAGGTCTAGGAATACAACGAAAAGAGCAGACTTCAAGATAAATTTACCAAGGAAGGCAGCCAAAGAGATGCTCAAGTCTAAGTTTGACGGCAGTTTTGCTAATCTTACTGATAATTTATGCATTAAGAACCGAAGGTAGGCAAGGAAAGTTATGATATAGACTACTTTTAATCAATCCTAAAGCTAATTTGGAGAATCTTGAGAACTAAATGCAACTGTCTAATATGAATCCGATGATGAATGAAAACTCAGATTACTCTTTGGAGCCTATTAATGAAGGGAATTCTGCGAATGTGTTACTTACAGAGACCCAGAACTCATCCAGAATCTCTCCATCCAAAACTGCTCAAAATGATAGAGCAAGATAAGTTTTCAATATTGGTTTTGTATGTGGGGTTTTGGGGTTTTGGGGTTTTGGGGTTTTGGGG